ATCATAGGTAGTCTCCTCTCTCTCTCTTCCTCCCCCCTCCCTCCCTTCCTCTCTCCCTTCCTCCCCCCCTTTTTCTTTTTTTTTTTAATTTTATTTATTTATTTTTCCCCCAAAGCCCCAGTAGATAGTTGTATGTCATAGTTGCACATCCTTCTAGTTGCTGTATGTGGGACACGGCCTCAGCATGGCCGGACAAGCGGTGCGTCGGTGCGCGCCCGGGATCCGAACCCAGGCCGCCAGCAGCGGAGCGTGCGCACTTAACCGCTAAGCCACGGGGCCGGCCCTCTTTTTCTATTTATCTCTCATACACACACACACACACACACACACACACACACGCATGCACACGCACCTCTTTAATCCCTATTCTCCTTTACCTCATCTTCCAAATTTTGCTCTTTTTCCCTAAATAAAATCTTTTGTCGTTTGTGAGCCAAAACAAGTTTCTGATCATGGTATAATGCCACAGTACATGTTTTAAGAAGAAGAAAATTCATTCATTTTGATATTAAATTTGTCACAATAAAGGGCTAGTATAAATCTCTGAATGCTCATCTCAAAGAAAGGGACTGAAGATTAGAGGGAAGGAGAATTTACTTCCTATTTTCTACTGTTTTAATGGTTTGACTTTTTTATACATTGCCCATATATTACTTTCGTAATATTTTTGTTTTGTTTTTTAAGTTATCCATGTGGTGGTAAGATTGACTGGAACTGTTGTTTTCAATTACAAATATACAAAATTTCTATTATTTTATGGATTAAAATAAACACTGTGTGCCAGCCTGAGCATCTCATCACCATTTACAAGGTCATTATCCTTTTCAAGTTCCATATACAATAACTGGCTTACAGACAAACTTTTGGATTACAACCTGTTTGTAGACTATAAAAAAAATATTGATTAAATTCAACCAATTTTCAAATTTCAGTATGAAGAGTATATGGATTATCTAGTGTCTAAACGAGAAGTTAGATGTTATAGAAGTTGTATGCTCAAGTCTATTTCCTAGTTGGCAAATGATCATCTCCCCACAGTATGATACCTACATGGTTAATCCAATGTGTCAGACATCCCTGTTTAATAAGCAGAGGCTACTTGACCATGGAAAGCAAACATTATATGTATACTATAATATATATTATATATTGTATACATAGTAAACATTATATTTTTAAATATGTATAGTAATCACATATTGTACAATATATCTTGAATATCTTGCATAACATGTATAGTAAACATGATATGATAATTGCCTTTTCCCATCTCAATTATGTTGTTCTTCCCCTACCATAGTGAAACTTGAATCATCTCTTCATCCCACTATCTTAATATATAATTAAATAACAATGGTAATCACTTTCCTGTGATCTTAAACAGAGGTTTTAATCAGCTTATCTGAATGCACAAAATTCGCTTCCGATACTGAACACGATCGTGTTTCATGATTCAAGATACAACAGATGCAATACAGGAATGGTGGTTCTGCTCCAGTGCTGCATAGACCATTGGCTATGGGTATGGCGGGATTTTCTTTCTTTCCTTTAATGAACCGAGCTCTGGTTTGTTGGTTTGTCTGGAAATACAGCTAAGGAGTGTTTTGCAACCACACAGGATAAAACACGCACACGTGCGCGCACACATACACACACACACACAAAATCCCTGACGGGGTAGGGAGGGGCCGGTGGTCTGAGTTGCGCAGAGCCTCTCCCCACCAGTTTTTCCCATTGGCAGCAATTTTGTTTTTAGAAGCAAAACTGCATTGTTCCCTATACATCGACGGATGAATAGTAGGTCTACCTTATTAAAAGGATATATTATTCACAGTTTCAAAGAAAGAAAAGGATCTCAGTTCAGATTTACAGTTCCCAGCCTGTACTTCTGTCATTCCACAAAAAAGTAAGATGACCGAGGAAATGTTTACATCAATTTAATAGGCATTAGCTTTATTTTTCAAAACACTCTGTTTTAAAGCACAATAGACTCTGCAGTTGTTTATAAATTTAAGGTATTCATCAGTGTGAAATAATTATTTCCTTTCCCTGTTTCCTCTTATCGGAAAAAAAAATACATTTGGTCTCCTAGCAAGACACAATCCATTTTGCTAAGTTATTTGTCAGTTTTTATGAAGTGTGTTTACTATCACTGGGGCAGAGGTTTAGACTAGATGCAGGATTAGCAAGAGAATGTGACATATAGTGCTTTTGTAGGTCATGGGGTGTGTTTGGTGTGCTAGCTATCATGGATTTATCTTATCCTTGTTTAACCACTAAGCAGAAAGTGAGCCTTCCCGGTATTGTTCCATTCATATTCCACTGCACTCATTCAGAAGCCTGACACTTCCTCTGCCTGGCAGATTAAAGGGGTAGTGTGGTATCTTTTGATGATGTGCAAAACAGCTCCCTCAGTCCACGCTCCTTAGGCGACGCTAACCACTCAGAATTGAAATGCTATTCATCTACCCTGGAATTAACCAGAAACTTGATCTTATTTTCCTTCTTGACAAGTTCTCTTAAAATCATAATGGTTTTTTTTTCTCTCTATTTCTCTTTCTCTCGCTCTTATTTTTAGTGTTGATCAGGGAGAGAAAGGAAATATGGAAACATAAAATAACAAACAGCCCTAAAGAAAAGGAAATATGTAAAACAATGAAAAACACAGAATTGTGCCTTTTCTTTCTGTGATAATCTTTCAGTAGGTGTTATGTTGTGATGGTGATCCTTTAATCCTGTGGCTTATCTATCATCCTATTATATATTATTTTCTCCTTTATGAGAAAAGCAGTGTTTATTATCACAGGTGGGAAAACACAGAAGTAAGAAACAAGCAGAGAGGTTACATTTAATCACTTTAGGCGGATTTCATATTTGCCTTTTTGCTTTCATTCCCGATCCAGAAGCCTGTAAACCAAATGAGAGGACAGACTTTGTCAGGTGCATATCGCTGAGATGGGCCAGGAGGACAGGTGCTGAGCCAATGCAATGATCAACATTAGGTCATTGTTGGTGATATTTAGCTAGAGAGCTAAAGAAAGAATTTAGAAATACCATTGTGCTACTCTTCAAATATTTACTAATTGAACCTGGAAAGGAAAAAATGTTGGCCCCCTCATATAGAATTCCTTGTCCTTTTCCTTCTTTAAACAGTATGTCAAAGATCCAGGAGAAGAAGTTTGTTTATCTAAGAAAGAAATATGAGCTTTACTTATGGAGTTTCAGGTACCCCTAACGTGGAGGCTTCAATAAGGAAATACAATTTGGCAATCCTGCATTTGGCAAAACATTCTTTTATGTTTCTGGCCTGTTTATTTTAAGAGACAACTTACCAGGCGGGCAGATTAGAGTGTTTACTACGTACAATGTGTCTTTCATCTCTCACCGTGGCTGGGGCCCTGGCGTTAGCCGCACCACAGTGAGATGTAGGGAGGTTATTCAACAGGAGCGTGACGGTTTAAAAAGAAATGAGAAGTCAGAGCGAGCAGATACTTGGAACACAGTTTGTCTTCCAAATATTTGAACTTGTGTTGCTGCGTACTTTTTAAGGTTAACATTATTATTTGCACATCTATGAATTTTAGAACATTTAAAAAGAGCACACCACATGGACCTTCTTAGGAAAAAGCAGAAGCTTATTGGAGAATTTGCCCGGAAGGGGTAGTGCCTTTAAAGATATTACTAATTTTTATATTACTACAGCGAGTCTTTCTGATACGTTTTTGTTGTTGTCTGTTCTTTGATTTGAAGCGACCCCTCTTGTGGAAGTGAATGCAGTCTGAGAGCGTTCATTCATTTAGGCTCAGGACTCAAGTAATAATTTAGCCGTTTCCTCTCTGAGGGTAGGAGAGCTAATGAGAAACACAGATTAGGAGCCAAGATCTATTCTGAGATTAAAGTAAAATGTCCTAACAGAAAGTTGATGGTGAAATGAAAGACTGAGAACATAATTATACTTTTCTGGGGCAAAGTCTTGAATGAGGCAAGCCAGCTTGCTAAAGTTCCTATCTGTCTTCAAATAGTCACATTCTCTACCATGTAAGCATTGTGATGTAGCGTCATTATAATATTTAATGATTATACCATTTATGCAATTTGTTTAAAACTCCTTTAGGATATATATAGCCCATATCAAGAAGAATTCCAGGGTGATTTTGGGTTTGGTATAAACAGCTCTCAGGTTTACATGTGAAAGGAAAACTGAGCTTTCAATATCCTATTTTGGTTAAACTCTCTATAAAAAGCGTGTGAAGCAGTGGAATGATCTTAGCCCCGAGAACATGACCATCTGGTCACGACATAACGGCAGCAAAACTGGCCGTGCGCACTCGTCCCACGTGGGGTGACCTCCACAGCCGGCCGCTGGCGCTGAAGGGGGCTGCAGTGACCAGTCCCCTCAGACACTTGGAAGACCTACCCCCGTTTACAGATGACAAACCCTCTGGGGTAAAGCCCTCAGAATATGAGAAACATAAGGTCTGCTTTATTTAATTTCCTCTCATTTACCAAGAGTCACAATCTATTTTAGTAAATAAATTCAGGAAATTGGGAAAGCACTTTACTCCATCCGTTATGTATCAGTAATTAACATGATTGTCACGTTTTTCCTGGCTGTGGGCGCCGCTGCTGCTTACAGCTTCCCTCACATGCCTGCGACCAGTTTATAACATCCCTGGTAATGGGTGTTACTGCGTCTAAACTCCTTAAACAAACAAAACAGCCTACACGTTGTACAGAGAAGCGCACTTCCTCTGCTTTATTCATAAAGATTCCTGACCTTAGAGACTTTTCTCTATTGATTCTGGCATTCTTTTCACATAACCCTTTACACTTTTCATCCACGACTGCTTTACACCCTGGGATAGAATAAAAGAAATGATAATTCATTCAAAGGCATGCATCTCTCTCCTACTTTAAGCCCCCCCCCCTTTTTGGTTATTACAACAGAGCCCATCTTAATAGCTTCGACTGTTCACCGGGTAGAACTGATTTTTTCCTACCTTCATTAGCCACTGAGTGTTGTTTTCCATGATGTTCTCCAGCACTTGTAGTCTCTGCACAGAGTCGTCATAGTCTAGTGGTGCGTCCCTCTGCACAGCGTTCGGCACGTAGGAGCTGGAGGGAGAGCGGCAGTTGTCTGTCTCTGGCAGGAGAAAAGTGTAGCTGCAGGAACCGTGCTGAACCTGATACTGTCTCTTCCCTATGCTGTCCATGCTTTTCCGAAAGTTGTTATAGGCTGCGGCTAAGACAAGATCACAGCTCAAAGTAAAGAAAACAATCTGCCACATTCTTTCTTTCTTTTGGTAACAAGCCACCAGCTTAGCAAACTTCAAGGCACATAGACTCCCGAGTCCTAAGCTGCCCTCTCAGACACAGAGCTATGCTGCCATGGCTTAAGGTCCATCAATGAAAGTCTTCTCTCGCCTCCTTTTCTAGCCGCAAACGTGGCTTTTGATGCTGTCTTCTCTCCGATCCTGCAGTGAACTGTCAGATTGCAGCAGGCAGAGGAACCCCGCTCACTTGTGAGGGCTGTGTTCGCTGTACGGATCAGCGTTAATGCTTCTTTGTTTCTCTTCCCCCAGATTCTGTGGTGTCAGGATCCAAATCAATCACTTTCCTTTCCTTATATGATAAGTTGATAAGAGCAGCCAGACATGTGTAACGAGCTGCCCCGCCCTCCTGGCTTGTCCGTTATCTTCCTGTAGGGGGGTCACTAGCCAGGCAACAGGAAAAATCCGAGCGTGATGTGTGCTGTCCAACCAGGACTAGATGCTGCAGAAACCCTCTGGGAAAATCTGATCAGTTACAGGACCCCTGGGTATTTCGGAGGCACCACCCTAATTGAGCATTTCCTAGAGAGAGCAGTGGGTCTCCTGTGTCTGAAACTGATTTCACAGTGCTAAGCTGGTAAAATATCTGGGGTGATAACTTTAACTTTAAAGTACAATGAAAGTTCCTGTTTTTCCCTTTAGGAATAAAAATACTACAAATATGTCAGGACTTTGGTTTATTTTTGTTATTACAAACAAAAGAGGAAGAAGTCTTGCTCTTGTAAACTCTTTGCTTTTTCATAGGGAAAATAGTTTCATTGGTATTACTTGCTTTTTGAACTATTAGCTAAGTATACAAAATTTTCATTTTAAAGCAGTTGGGTAGGAAGGTCTTGCTTTATTAAATCATGTTAGGAAGCTCAGTTTCTGAGCTGTGACATCGAATCTTTCAATATTCAAAATAAACTTAAAATAGACTGGACTAATTAATGGTCTGTTAAATTACAGTAAATAGAGAAATTAGAACTTAAATAAGAGGATGTTGAGAGAGGAGCTCATAAATTCTCCTTTATTAGATCAAGATTTGCTCAAATCCCATCATTTTGTAACATATTATCCAGGATCTATTAAATCAGACCTGTTGGGTGTTGGACTCAGGCAAAGCACTTCTTTTTAATTAAGCTCTAATGTCCTCATCTGTAAAATTCAGGAATTGCCTTAACTCCCAAGATTTTTCTATTTCAGTTCTATGGCTCTGTAAATCCTCCAGGTTGCTTCCTTTAATAACTAAAATTTAACACTTCAGAGGTTAACAACATGCTAACTCACTAGCCAGAGGGTACACGGGGAAGAAACTTGGAGCCTTTGCCGTGGTCTGTTTGTATCTCAGTGCACAGGATTTGTTCTTCCCAGGCAGTGGTAGCATTTCTGTCACACTGACCTGGTAGACCTCGTCTACCCATGAAAGCCAGTGTCACTCTCTATCATATAAGATCAGCTTTTAGAGGATTGCAGAATTATAATTTTAATTCTCGGGTGGATGTGGAATTGCTATAGTGAGTTCTGTGTTCCTGGAATGTGTTTTCCAGAGACCTAATTAGACCTTTAAAAACATCCTTCCAAGGGGCTGGCCCGGTGGCATAGTGGTTAGGTTCACGCACTTCACTTTGGCAGCCCAGGGTTTGCGGGTTCAAATCCCAGGGGTGGACCTACACACTGTTCGTCAAGCCACACTGTGGCAGCATCCCACATATGAAAAGTGGAGGAAGATTGCCGCAGATGTTAGCTCAGGGCCAATCTTCCTCACACACACACACAAAATTCCCAATTAACCTAGGCTGGCTCCTAGGTTATCACTAAAGCCAGGGTTCTTAACTAGAGGTCCACGGACAGAATTCCTGGGGTCCATGAACTTCGACGGGAAATAATATGTCTTTATTTTTCACCAAGCACTCACTGAAATATAGCCTTTCCTTTAACTGTGAATAGGTCACAAACAACAGTGGTCAGTATCTGTGGCTTTCTCATCAATAGGAATCATGGTTGTTTTGTATGATATCTCAAGCTATCACTTGCACTCAGCACTACATTGTTATTAGATCCATCTCTAGATCCTGTTGGTTAATATCTGAATAAAGCAGCACCATGTCGTTTTCTGAGAAGGGGTTCATGGACTTCACCAGACTACCCGAGGGTTCTGTTGCACAGGGAAGCTACAACTCATGCTCTGGAAGAGTCACATAGAAGAGGGTATTTGATCCCACCATGATTCTGGTGCGTGGTTTCTGCTAAAGGAACAAACTAAAGAAAATACACCCATTGAGACTATGAACTATACAGGAAAGCATATAGGCTTGACCATCAGACCTGTGTTAGAACCTGGTTCACTGAGCCCTGAAGTAAACGCTTGACTTTTCCAAGCCTCAGTTTCCCCACTCGTAAAATGAGATGATTCTTTCTTTGTAGCGCCTCTAGGATTAAAATGATGCAGAATAGTAAATGTTACTTAAGAATATTAGATTCCTTTCTTTTTCGGTACTTTCCATTAAGTGGAAATCAATTGTTCCACCATCAAGTATTATAACTGGGTTATTCTCTGATTGAATGTGATGCGGTAGCATAGGGCACAAACTTTTTCTTCTAAGTTTATTCCCAGTTTGAAAAAGCATATTATAAGGCATTAATATTGCATTTGTGGGTTTTAAAAGTCATTCCTCTGCCTTCCAGGCAAATAGGGTGTTTAAAAAGAAGCTGCAGGAAGAGGATGTACCACAAGTACTTCTCGTCTGCCGGTTTTGTATCAGACACTCTGTGGCACACTGACAATAGAGATTAATACGAGGGGGCTTCAGGCTTGAAGAAGCTAACAGAGTGAGGGAGAGAGACCCGTAAACTAATAGGATGTGATGAGAGGAGGAATTGTGAGAACACACAGAAGGAAGACAGTGTTGCTTCCAGGGCGCCGGTCCTGCAGGCATTGGCATGGATGCTCTCTTATGCATCCGTCCACTCAGGCTCAGAACATGCAATGAGCAGCTCTTCATAGGCTCCTAAATGGAAATTGTTACCGGAGAGTCGGGGGGAGGCTCTGGTTCGACCAGGGGTGGGCAAAATTCTTCTGTAAATGGTCAGATAATAAATATTTTCGGCTTTGCAGGCCCTGCGGTCTGTGCTGCAACTGCTTAACTCTGCTGTTGTAGCGTAAAAGCACCTGCAGACAATCCACAAAGGAGGGAGCCTGGCTGTGTCCCAACAAAGCTCTCTTCATGGGCACTGACATGTGAATTTCTTGTCATTGTCACATGTCATGACATATTTGTCTCTGGATTTTTTTTCAACCATTTAAAAATGTAATAACGTAAAAACCATTCTTAGCCTTTCAAAACGCACCATGGACTGTAATCTGCTGACCCCTGAGTTAGAACTAGGAGAGTCGGCCGGGGGGGATGTGACGTGGTTGGTGAGGCCACTCTCAATGCACAGCCAATGTAAACAAGGACCTCTCCCATGCCTCGGATCACGGCATGGCTTCTTAAAGAATTGAGAAGCATGAGCCAGGCCGGGGAAAAGGGACTTAGGAAAGGGGCAGGAACGTTTGCCCAAAGAGAAAGTGCCACTTTGAAGCTGGATCTAAAATGCAAGACGAGGAAGATGAGCTAGGAGAGCGGACTCCAGTGAGGAGCAAACATCACCCTGGGCAGGGCCAGCCACAGGCAGCACACGCCAGAAGCAGAAGGCGGCACATTTGTTGTAGTCAGAGCGTACGCTAGGCTGCAATGACTGGTCACGGAGGAAACGCAGAGAAGATCTGCAAGTCCACCGCGGCCAACGAGGGGGAGCCAGCAGGAGACCCTAGAAGGAGGCAGATCTGGGCGTGTAGTCACATGAAGGAGGATGGGGCTGGGATTCTGCCTGTGGCTGGCTGACTGAAAGTGCGGACAGTCCACCCTCCTGCCCTCACTTATAGACAGGCCTGCTGTAGTCCTTTAGTAAGCCCCACACAGCTGGCCTCTGTGTGAGGACCACCACCCCAGCCTGGGGGCTTGGAGGCTAAATGCCCCAGATCCTTGGCTCCTGAGTGAGGCTTGACTGTGGTTCTCAGGACTGTTCATATTGCAAGAGAATCTTGAGTTTTCTTCAATGACTTGCTGACAGGATAGCTAAAGGCAGATGAAGCCATAAAATGAGAAATATTATGACAGCCTTCCCCAAAGTCGCCTGCCTGCCCAACCAATATCTTTTTTCTAACGGTTCTGCCGAACAGCTGTGCGTGGTGCTGTTTATTTTGTTAACAATGTTTGTTTTCTCCCTCATGCTGTATGTCATCAGCTGAAATTTCGGAGGCTCCCGTTTGTTCTCTGTAGAGCTGTCTCAAGTTCTCCTTATTCTTCGCCATGAGGAGGTAACTCCTGTTCAGTGGCACCAGAAAGACCACCTATTCCCTGAAAGGAGTCAGCATGACAAAGAACTTTGACTTCAGTTTACCCTGTTGAACAAGAGCCTTAATGTGTGGGAGAAGCCAAAAGACCTTCCGTTGGTTGTGGCCTCCCCTTCCCTCCAGAAATGTAGGTCCTGTGGATGTAGATCTGTTTCTATCTGGATCGTGGAATCTGATTGACCACAGCCTTCCAGAGGCCCCCGGTCATCCAGAGCCATCTGTGAGACTCCCTCACACATTTGGCTCTGTTTGAATGGTGTCCCGGGAAGCCAGAAACCAAAAGAGGATGCCATCATTAAATCAGTGCAAAGCAGGGCAGCCCCCAAGCCATGGATCTCCAGATAGAATTTTCAAGAAGGCCCATGTGACTTCTGCTATTGTCCTGTGAGCCAGTTCAATATTCAGTATTTAACTGGATAGTTATATTGTTGGAGAAATCATGAGTTGGAAGTGGGACCAACTGGCCCAGGGAAGAGAAGGGACATTGCTTTCTGAACTATTAAAATCCCAATAAGTGTACGTGGCAAATACATTCTTTGAAAAGCCCATACCTAATTGGAAAATACGTGGAAAGTACTGAGACATCCTGAGAGGCACATTGATCTCCTGCGTTCATCGCGTGTTTTGTGCTGGAGTCTTTTTCCATCATATCTGGGCAGGTCCTCTGGAGTGGATGGGTCTCATGCCTGCTCGAGTCACTATCACCCAGCACCCAGCACAGTCTCCATTCATCATGTCATCGCTGCCTGCAGGCCTCGGAGATGGTGACTGGGGCAGGCTTCTTTGGCCAGCGTGGCCTTAATTTTTGGAAAGCACTGTGTTGGTGTAAGAGGAACTCTCAGTACTGAAATACCTAAGAAGTGAAGCTGCGGACCCTGTTTGGACTCTTGGCCATTTGCAGACAGACGGGCACACTCAGGACTCTCGGGCGCCTGGCACGCTGGAGCCAGGAGGGGCTCTGGAGACATCTTGTCCGTCTCTCCTCCCTCCCTGTCCCCAGCCTTTTTAAAATTGGCCAAATAAAATCAGTCTACATGTTTACATC